TTATGAGATGGTTGTTTGCGTAGAATAATCTTAATCTTAAGTGTTTGGAATTATTCATATGCAGAATCAATACTCCAGCATGGGCAGGTGATTGCAGTCAAGCATCTCCACACAGTCTCAAAGTGTCGTCGATATTTTGCAAGACTAACGCAGAATACTAACTCTTGAGCAGACGACCGAACATCTAAACCTTTAATCTATTTAATTCTTGAGCAGACGACCGCACCTAAAAACCTTTAATCTTTCTAACTCCGATGTATATCCTTTCGACTGCTAATATCGTATTCCGGTTGATATGCATAATTTATTAGGTGGTGTGAAAAAACGAGGTCTTGAGAACCGCTATCACATAAAGGTCGCTCGGATGGTCGATAGTTTTGTTTGATTAAACATTAAAGATTGTAAATCAATAAAGGAAAAATCAATTATATCTAACAAAGTTTACAAATAAAATCTGAAGAAAATGTACCACATCTTTATTTATACAAGAGGACAAAACCTTTAATCAAAGTCTTTAACAAAAGACAGCAACCGGAAATGAGGTAGCACCAAAACAAAAGGGAAGAAAACATTATCCCAAACAAAACTTGGAGGTGAATTTTAGTGTTCTGGTAGGGAACCACATGTGGCATCTGTCAAGATGTCAAATCAAGGGAGGTATCTAGGTCACTCATACTCTACTTTATATGTAGCTAATGTGCAATCAAAGTATACATCTAAATCGCTTAGATAAAAAATATGGTCGTAAAACCTTACCTAAATAGTATATCGGTCAACTTGACGTATCTATCGAGATAAACACAGATACTCAAAACTGGCTTTGGAACTGTGAATCAATTATGTCATGTAAACTCCTTAAAGAAGGGATGCTATCGATCGCGAAATAAATTATGAATTTGTTATCGATGAGTTTTGTATTGAACCGTACTTTTTAGGTCAATATCAAAATATAAACTGAAGCCAAATGAATAGTAGTATCTTTAATTATATTTTGTTGTATACTCTCTTGAATAGTAGTATCTTTAATTATATTTTGTTGTATACTCTCTTGAATAGTAGTATCTTTAATTATATTTTGTTGTATACTCTCTTGAATAGTAGTATCTTTAATTATATTTTGTTGTATACTCTCTTGAATAGTAGTATCTTTAATTATATTTTGTTGTATACTCTCTTGAATAGTAGTATCTTTAATTCAATTTCTTGAAAATAAAGTTTACGCAAGTAATTTCTATCTTCTTGGTAAGAAAGCAGGAGAACACCGGAAACAAAACAGCGATTCAGACTCAACATGCATTAATCTAGTAGGCCAACATTAGGAACAGAAAAATATGTACACACACATACCCATGGCTTACACGGAAAATATAACACGAAGTGTTCCGAAAGGGTAATCAGTATCTTGTAATTATCGACATCACACGACATGTCGAACTTCGTCAAACCCAAAGTAATGCCAGGTTCTCATAAAGATAACCGGGGTAGTGATAACGGAACCAAATGAAACACCAATGGGCATAATGAAAAACAAAATACCTTATTGTGTATCAAAGGATAGTGACCTTGATATAAATTAAATTTCCTCATGCATTTTGGCTAAAAGTGGTTCCTATGAAACCTCAAGATTCAAATACTGACAGTCTGTTGAAACAATTAGCAGAACTTTGTCGACCGAAACATGTATCATGCGAACAATCACCATCTTTTTTTCTCTCTTGCTGGAAGCGTATGTTTAACAATCAAGTCCCTTGTGTTAACAATAAAACGAGGTATCTGCGTTTGCCAAGTTGAAACAAAAATGACCGATATTTGAAACTCTGAAACGTTTATTTCGAAGTTTTTTTCCCACGTTGGTAAATGTCTTACACAAGGACCAGGTGCTAGACCATACGTATCCGGGTTGACTTGTCCGATTCAATTGTCATCTCGTTATCTAAGTGTACATATATAGTGTGACGTGCTTTTGGTATTATAGCACGAGGCATGGTTAGTATGCAGTGTTGGGAAGTCAAAGTTTTAACAGATGTTATTATGGACATAGATGACAACTAAAGTTTATCCATTAAGTCATTATGTCCAATCCCTTTTGTCAAACGGCAATATAATTATTTTACTTAATACATTCTTTTTGTTTTCAAACTTCACGTTAGAGAAATGCGGCTATGTATTACAAAGTAATATTTAAGTCAACATTTACTATGGTAAATATTGCGGACCCGATGGTGGAAACTAATTATTTCCTGGCGCGATCTGTAGCCTATTTTGAAATATCGCTCAAAAACATACTTCCTTATATCAGCCTCGATGATTCCATCCAGATTGAGTGAAGGAAGTTGTTTACTGACTATCCAGGACTATGTCGTGACAATGTTGGGTTACCTCACCGAGGCTGTCGCACACCTCGGTGTTTTTGTGTATGATTTAATCTACCCGGTACTTACAAACGTTGCCTTGTTGTGTAGAAATTATGTATGGGCATGGTGTATTATTTTCTGTCCAGATATTTACAAATATGAAGAGGAATTTGGATTGGGTTAAGGCAGGGCTTTGAAATTGTTATAATCATATTTCTGAGCAGAATCACATCCTCCATAAATTTCTCATTTTCGACAAAGCAATGATTGCGCGTTGCCTTTTTTGAAGTCACTTCAATAGGAACTATAAGAAACAAATATTTCTCCGAAGGTAACCAGGCTTTTGAAATAAAATATTATTTTTTGACAGGTCGTGGAACATCCCATGCCATGGAGCAATATTGACAGAAAAACAGAAAATGTGAATGGTACCGATTCCAGTCAAGAGAGGAATTGTCACGAGAAAGACCTGTGATAATGATGTGTTGTATTTCTGATGTCATGTGTTGGTGTGATTAATAATCTATTTTTTTCTGAAAATATGTTGGGTTTTTTTTATATATATTTCCTTTAAATCAGTACATTGAATTGAAAAGATCAACAACCCAGGTATTAAGAGTATTCAGAGAAAGCCAGGATTTGCTTGATGCATAGGTAAATATAATCTCAACACCAGAAATAATGTTATGCTGCGACGCCATCAAAAGTCTCATAGGAAACCCATTGGACTTAGATCTCTAACACTGGGCTAGAGGATGGCAATCCTGATATTGTCTGGATAGCTCATTTCTATCTTGCTGTGTATATTGATGCACCCTAGCTTTGCACATCAGGTTGCCCTGTTGCTCCTCTCTGAGATTATCAGTGTATATATTAAAGTCCATATCAGCTTGACCATCCAATTATATAATTACTTGTCCAATGGTTCATTGGTGAAAAAGAAAATAGGCACACTGGTTATGGCTCCTACCGTGTCCAGGTTATGGCTGGTAGTGAGACTATAGCACTTTATGTGGTCTAACCATCTGTCGACATATGACCCTTCACTACCTTGTATTAATATTTTGTGCGAACTACTATTGATTTTATGTTAATTATTTCTGTGTCGATTACTAGAATTAATTCTTGTGTTAGTAACCATTTTCTTGTGATAAATTCCATCTTAAATGAATTACTTTCTGGTGTGAATAGCTAGTTTGTGTTACTTTGTTTTATTTCATATTTAATAAATGTATTGCATGTATTTGATTAATTTGACAATGAAAAAGGATTCACAAACAAATTTTGAAAACTTGCACAAATCTTTTTCCTTCATAGAAATTACATGCACAAGGAAGTTTGACTCAATATGAATACAAATGGTAGCAACAACAACATGTTTCAATAGTTTTATACCGTGTAGAAGTAGGAGAATGTAAAGATAAAGGGGAGTGAAAGAGGAAAAGAAAATTTGAAACTGATGTCATATTCAGAAGGAAACAAACAAATAGTGTACCACAACAAAAATAGCTACAATTTACATAGACGCTTAATTATTAGCTACTTCACAAGACAATGCAAGCCGCAAACATGAGTTTTCATATGAAACTTATACAAATCGATTTGATTTAATAATGAAACATTGTACACATTTAAATATATTTTTATTTTGTATGTAAGATAGATTGTTGTCACTAAACAGTAAAACTTCGACAGAAAGCTGATTTTGGATAGATGCAAAACTTACTGGTCTAATACGTTCATAATTATGACAAAGCAATAGATATTGTTCGCTTGTTTCATTTGCCACGCGACAATAACAGAGTGGGCTCTCAACTACATGTTAGTGAACAGGTGCTCATTTAGTGAACAGCATTTCATACATAGCCTGACATGGTGAATCTGTCCTGTTCTAGTACCACAATAAAAATAAGATTGTAATTGGGATGTATTTCTAGTAAGATGGGTTTTTATAATAACTTCAGGGAGAGTATTTCATAGATTGAGAGTAGCAGGTAAGAAAGAATTTATATATTTGTTCTACAACGTGGAGGTCGAAATTTATCTGTGTCTCTAGTTTTCTGGTGGTGTATTTTTGAATGTCGATCTGGAAGATATGGTGGGGTATTGTGATATTTGATATAAATGTATTATTTTGTGTTTGTGTCTACATGTGAGTGATTGCCGTCCCGTTTCTTTGCAAAGGTTGAAGTGGCTAGTGAGTTAGCTATATATATATAGGCGCCCCCAGTTACAATTCATGCCGCTTCAAGTTGTATATTTTCTATCATTTGTGATTGTAAGTTTGTAAAATTTTCGCAAATGATATCCCTGTATTCTATTGCTGGTCTTATAAAAGTAAAATACATTTGTTGGAGTGTTTGGCGGTCGACAAGGTATTTCAATTTTCTAAGTAGATTTAGCTGAACTGATGCCTTTTTAACAAAAATATCTATGTTAGAACTGATGCCTTTTTAACAAAAATATCTATGTTAACTGCTATCTTGTGTTAGTTAATTACAAAATGTACTTGCATGAAATGCTATCTTTCTTGAGCAAATTTGTATCACTCTTGTTTAAACAACCCTTGATCCTGTTAATTACTATCATGTGATCATGAAAGCTTGAAGAATTCCCACACATTAGAAAACCTTCAAATTTAAAAAGTTTTTAGAAGGTGATTGTCTTTTTATTGTAATCTGTAAAAACTCCAAGCATACATTCTAAACGACCTGATAGGCAGACTTTCATTCAAAAACAGTATCTGTCACTAAGAACAGGCTGGTGGATGCCATCTTGCCATATACTATATCACAGCCTTCAGGCCCTGTCTTTGAACAAATGTAAACTAAACACTATGTTTCTGGCTTATTATTTTTGACTTTTAGCCATCACTTTCTCCATGATATCTGCATAGTCTTTTCTAGCCTGCTCGCGATCTTCTGGAAGGGGTAACGTAGGCCTATCTCCTTTCCAAAACCGACGCCATTGAACCTTAGTCTGAAAATAGAATAAACACACAGGTTGTACAAAAACATAATCAACTAGATATTATGTGTCACATTCTTTAGCACTTTGTAGTGATTTTAGTTTAACAAATTCTAGCTCCAGCTCTCACACTTTGAAAAACAAGAGGCACAAGGCCCCTAAAAACAGCCACCTCAGTTCACAGCAGATCAGAGATTTATCAATTTAGTGGTAATATTATGTAAATAGTCAGGATACAGCACACCATCCACTTTGATGGCAGTGGACATGTATACAGTTTATATCGTAACTGTAGGTGCTGTATTATAACCTTTGACCTCCTGTGCTCTGAATAATGAAATAGACATTAATGGTGCAGTGTCTATGTATTTTTTTTACTTTAAAACACTACTTGTCCAGAACAGCTGAGTGGTATTTGATTAAATTTGGCCTGGGACATGTTGGGCCAACAGGAGGCTCAATGGTAAGAAAGATTCTTACGGTAATCCTACTCAGTCAGTAGTATGGATTAAGGGATCTGAATCTAATTTAATCTGCTTTTGCAGGTTTGTTGGGCTAAGGAGGCTCAATGTTTAATAAACATATGGTGCAGCCAACATGGGGGCAGAGGGTTTGGGGCCCACTTACTCCTTTAGTACAAATAACAGCATTTTAAGCGAAGGATGTGTTCCAAATTTGGCCTTTCGGTAGCTATCCCCAATCAATTTTACTAATATTGCATTAATATACCTTTGGGTCATGCCATCATGATTTGACATTAAGTGAGAGTTAACTTGAATTTGACCAATGACCTTTAAAACGTTTAAAAAACCCTTTGCACATCTACATAAGCACAGTGTATCACCTTGTCAAATTAGTCTTTCAGATTCTGCAATAAGGACTGTATCCCCAAAGGTCTATTTTTAGTAACAGTGACCTTGATCTCGACCTTAGAATTTTTAAACCCCTATTGCACACCTAATTATTACAGTGTTTATATATGATAATATCCATGGAATGTTTTAAAAAGATGGGTCTATTGGATTCAAATATCAGGGATCTATTTTTAGTAACAGTGCCCTTGACCTTGGAAACATTTTAAACTCATATTGCACCACTAAATATCACAGTGTGTCACCATTTGAATCAACATTCAATATTTCAAAAACATTAGGCTTTTGGATTCTAAGATAAGGACCATCTGATCCCCTATGGTCTATTTTTTGTAACAGTGACCTTGACCGTGGAAAGTTTTTAAACCGTTAGTCAATATCTAAATATCAAAGTGTATCAACACGTCATTTTCAAAAGATTCCTCTTTTGGATTCTAAGATAATCTCTGGAAATAATAATTAAGGTTAGTTGAGAGATATGTGGGGTAAAGTAGGGAGCATATTTCAAAATGGCCTAATTTTGACAAAACTACATTTGAATTACACAAATGTATACCAGACTATATCAAAGTCCATTGCTATTTAGAAAGGTTATCGTCCAGAATGAAGTAGCCTGTCAATACTGAGTAAGAATTGGTAACCAAATAACATACAGGCAGGTTCCCATCTCTTTATTTAACCTGAGTAATTATATATAGTATACAAGCATGTCTGGATGAATTCAATAAATATTAAGAGAAGTTGTTTCTTGTCTAGAACCAATTACAGACCGTCAAATGTCAATGACACAATAGATAAAAATACCTAGCTAATCTGAAGCTAATATTCTGTGTGTGTAGCTATAGGCTAGCACAGGAGGTCAGCATGTGTGGAGTTAAACTTAAAGCATTGAATATATCAATTTTGGGATCAGTTTTGGATCACAAGGGTATAAAGAACAGACATTTGTCTTGTATTATATGTAAGCCCCTAAAATGTCCTGTCTAAGGGGGAACAGATGATCAGGCTAGATTAATAAAACTTACCCAAAATGCTTTACAATTTCTGTAGTTTTGAAACTCACTCTCACACTGGGAATTATCTTTGAAATTATGACGTCTTATGCAATCCAAACTGATCTTACCCTCCTACAAAATAAAAACAAGAAATATGTGATTAAATTATTTGAATGTGTTGTACATATCAGTGCAGAAGGATTTTAACTCACTTTGTCAGAACAGTGAGGTTAAAACTGGCAAAGGTGTTTATAAGGTTACCATTAACAAGCTTTGCCTAATTTTCTGGATTTATAACCCAGGAGAGCACACCAGTAGCTTTTAACTCAACACACTAGACTATAGCTGGGTTCATCAGACAAACTCTTACACAGTGAATCGTCTGGTTCTGATGAAGGAAAGTAACAAATATGGCAGCCTTTAATTTGTTTCAACTTCAATATCAATGTTTGTATAAATCATAGCAAGAGTAGTTCTGCAACAATTACAACTACAATAAGAACCTATTTAAACTTTGCTTACAGTAAAACCTTAATATGGTATAATGCCCCTCATACATATATATACTGTAAAACCTTCTTATATTGACCCTTAATTCATAATTTTAGCAAAACCTCTATCTTTTGGGTGCCTATCATTTGAATATAGTAATCTTTGATGTACAAATGCCCTTCGTCCATATACAGGAAAACCTTTCACACAATGCCCCTCTTGTATATATATGAAGTATGCAATGCTACTAAATGTACCTTGTTTCAGTTGCCGTTTTCCACCTAGACCTATAACATGTTACAAAACCTCCTGATATTTTTCTAAACACAATTCCTCTATATGTCTAGTTCAACGAATTGCCCAACCCCTTCATAATGCCAAAATTTTGCTGAACAAATGATAGCAATATAACAAGGTTTATATATTTGGCCTATATACAGTACCTTGTGATTAATGTAAATATCACAAACTTTCCATAAAAACACCATCACTAGTTCTAGTCTGTCTCAGTTGACTAAAAGTGACAAAGAAAAAAAAACAACTAAAGCTAGTTAATGGAATTCAAGTTTTATAAGAGAAATACCTAAAACATGAAAGTTCATGTCTATGAAATAATAATCTTAACAAACCAAAAATTAACCAAATGTACTTATTCCGTCTTTGCGTATTGCAGAGTTATTTTCTCTTGGGAGCAGGTATTAATTGTTACGTCATTGGTTTGTGTGAGAAAAATACGTCGTTTTCTCAAAAATTGATGACGTTACTCTCACAAACAAGTGACGTAACAATGAATACCAGCTCCCAAGAGAAGATAACTCTGCAATACGCAAAGACGGAATATGCTAAATGGAGTATGACTTGCTGTCATGATGACATGACGATCCAACCAAGCACATAAACATCCATGATGTTACATGCAAATTACATTAATTATATTTATTAAATAAATTAACATACATCCATTATGTTACATGCAAATTACATTAATTACATTTATCAAATAAATAAACATACATCCATAATGTTACATGCAAATTACATTAATTATATTTATTAAATAAATTAACATACATCCATGATGTTACATGTAAATTACATTAATCATATTTATTAAATAAATTAACATACATCCATTATGTTACATATAAATTACATTACCAGGTAATTATATTTATTAAATAAATTAACATACATCCATTTTTTTACATGCAAATTACATTAATCATATTTACCAAAACAATTAACATATATTAAGTTACATTTAGCTCAAGAATTAACTAGAAATAGCTTGTTAGAATGATACATTATATTAGCTTCCTGAATACATGTGTAAGTGAGCAAGGGGAGACGACTTCTAATTGACAAGAAAACATATCACATGTATCATATACAAAGGGGAAGTTGTCTCCTCTGAATGTGTTTATTTTTGTGAACTGGTGCCAGGGCAGACTTTCCCCTTATTGACATACTATACTATACTTTCTTTCAAATACGACACATCATCCTTGATTTTATATTTTGAATCATTTTAGCAGATTATGTTCACGATAATTATAAAATTTAGATTTTTAACCTGTGATTTGAATCAGTTCCATTTTTTATTGTTGCTGATCAGTTGCATACAATTGACAATTATCCAATATAATCAGTAAGAATAATTTGTGTGTTTCTCTTGTTGAAAACATAATATCTTTTTTAAGAAATCCATTTATTATGAGATATTGAGAGTGGTATATCAGTATATTCTAACTCTTGCAAACTTAACACAGATGTTTATTTAGGAAAACAAGAGGCCCATGTATTAGCGGTCACCTGAGTTCTGATATATTTATACAAAGATTTTTTTTTTAAACATGAACAGAAATATTATTCAAAGTCATAAAAAAAACAATAAAACCACCTTATTCAATATCTAGCATACAGATTTAAGACTGAAAAGTATTTGAAACTAGCACCTCTGATTCTAAACAAAACAAAATTCTTAGCACACTGACTCCTTTGGGCCCCGCCCTACAGCCCTTAGAGGTAGGGCTGACTCAAAATGTTCAAAGTATCAAACTGTCAACTCAGGGTTATAATTCCAAACATGTTATCAACATGTTATATCCAAAGTATCATTTGCGAATATAAACCATAATAAGTAATGAATTCACAAAACTCTATGCCATGGTCAAATACACCTGGCATGACTTCAGAATGTGAAAATTGATTTGGTAGGTTTGTGATGGTAAGGTCCAAAGTGTTTCCATTTCTAGTTGGTTGTTCTATTATTTGTGGTCGGCCAGTTTTATCTAGTAGGTCAGCAAAATCATAGTGGACCTGGGGATGGTCTGTGTTTGGTTGACAGACCTTGTTGAAGTCACCACTGACTATGATTACTGCATTGTTTAGACCAACTGCTTTTCTGAGGGAGGTTTCAAGACCTCATAAACTGTTATGTCTCTGGGTTGTAGAATGATGCAATATACAATGATTTCTTACCAACAGTATTAAGTTTTGTCCACACAATTTCTGTGGTGTTACCATAAGGAGATAACATGAACCTCATCACTGATATAACGATCGCAATGGCCACAGAGACTCCTCCTCTTTTATAATTTAGTATTTTTTGACTATCATTTCTGTATACTTTGAAGTTGTCTGAGCAGACACTTCAGAGTCTTTGACTGTGTCCCAATAATTGTGTCTTATTTTGTCTTTTAAATTAAGTAGATGTATATTGCTTGTTTTTTAAAGATTGAGAGTTGATGTTGAAGATTCTATGGGGCTTGTTTTTATCTCTTTTTTTTTTTAAATCTTTCTGTTACCTCTCACAGGGGTTGATGAATGTTATGGTTTGTGACCTATTGGTATTAGACCATCACTGCGTATGTTGGTGCTTGATATTTGGTTGGTGTCATGGAAAATTGAATGCTAATATTTTCAATCCATGGAGGTCAAAGGGTACTTCACTGTAATTTGGCTGGTTGCATTAAGGATAATGCAAACTAACCACCTGGTATGCTGACATTTGGTTTTACATTGTAGCTGTATGTTTGACTGCGTACCCCTTGGGAGTGTGTATGCAACCATTGGTCACAACTCTAGCATACAATGCCTTTGTGCTAACATATAACAGTTTATCACGTTCATTTTTTTGAGGTTACGCACAAGTTACCTAGTGCTACCAGCTTTTGTTTCTTGCCCCAGGATTCAATATTATTTGCTAGTAAAATAAGTGTTTTACAGGACTTGAGTTGGATTGTTTTTTGTTACATTTAAACAAAGTTTCCATATCAACTAATGCAGGAAGCTTTAAATAGGGGAACATGGTGCGAATGACAGCCTTAGAATGGGGTAGGTGGTAGGATATGGAATTAATAGAGCTCTGCAACCAAACCCAACCCCCTCGAACAAAAAACTACACAAATTGAATCGGATGTGGTAAACGTCATATCAGCATTAATGCACTGACCAGATGTTTACCATTTTACCTCCACTTCAAAACCATTTTGGTCTCTGTGGAGTATATAACATATAGCTAGATAGATAGACTTTACTGACAGTGTTACGTAAAAAGTAAATTATGTAGAAAACAGTATTTTCATTAGGTCGCACATATTTCATATTATTTGGAGTGGATATAACGTTTCTTGAAGCGTTTCCAGAAATATGCAGCTTTCACAGTGACTCGATTGATAAGCTTTTGCTAATAATAACTTTCATGTACATTTACCCTTGATCAAAAACGAAAGTTGAGTTATAATTAGAATGACTCAATGAGGCTGCAGTGTTACTGCAAACACAATAATTCTTGGAATATTCAGTGATATTAAAAAGATATTTATAGTAAATAACTTACTTCTAAACATGCCGATTTGAGGGTGTAGTCGGGATTTAGTGGTGCATTACCCCTTTTCTCTTTTGATTTATTTTCCTTTTGGCTCGAACTTGAGGATTCTATGGAAGCGGCCATGACAGCTACGTCACGAACGTCCGATACCATCATGCATTGCGGTAATGGCTACCAACGGGACTAAATTATTCTTTGTCCTAATTTTTGAAGATTTTTATCAAATACACAAATAAGGACGGTAAGATTTCGTTAATGGATTCTGCTTGTTTGATAATGGATGCCTTATGCTTGCATTAACTGTTATTTGGCTGTTACATTAATTTACAGGATGTCATTTTCCTGGTGTGGGCCCTGACCCCTCCCTGGTGCCTCAAGAGCACTATGCGCCGCGAGAGTGGATTCATTTCCAAAACTAACTGTAGTGTGTGGTTACGAATATGTGTGTATTGCATAAAGGATTGATCTGAGATTTAAATGGGGCCAAACACTACCACAAAACATAGTATGTGATGGGTATAATACGTGTTGTCGATTAAAAAATTTCTGCGATGACAAATCAATTTGCCATATAAAATTGAGAGCCTTGATCTAACGCGAAACACGGCTACAGTATGCATTCTGTATTGTAACCAAGTCGGTCATTCTGATTCTCAAATGTCGTTTTTCTACCAATTGAAATGTCCAATTAATTTCAATCAATCCTGCATGAAATTTTCAAATATCAAGAAATCTGGATAACCGTACACAAACGTTCCAAAATCTGGGACAGTGCTGTTTATTGCAGTCCAGTCCAAGCTGTTGGTGAAGCCTCATAGTTTATACAGGATATATACTGTAGCATTGCTATTGTATTGACACTCTTAACAAGACTCCTTTGTATTTTCTGAGAAAAGGAAGTGATTATATCACTGATCACATGAAAATTGGATTTATATCTATCGTGTTACTTTTTGTTAGGTCACAAAAGGTGTGTTTTTGTTTTATGATCTTCGTCTTCTTTCTGTATTAAGTGACGAATCTCAAAGGAGGAAGCGATTACTGTCTCTGGATACTGTGCGTGCATGTGCTGATGATGAATATTTGTAGTAACTTTATATATAATTAATGAAAAGTAAAAATGAAGTTGTTTTATACTTATTGTGATAGTGTAATTAGCATCATTATAGAAAACACCTTGGTCCACAACCTTATGATATCATGTTCACATTAAAAATCTTACAAATAAAAAGTGGGTGAATGTACTCTCTTAATCAAACTCCATTTCTGACTTGTTTTCCAGATCATTTGTTCTGCTTCTTTTGTTCATTTTTATAGATCCTTGAGTCAGCTAGACTCCACAATATGAAACTCTATCTCTGCAAACTGGATATTCTTGTATATTGTAGTCCCAGAGGTGTCCAGTTTGAACACAGTCCATTGTAAACTATTGTATTCAAATTGAAGCCAGAAATGTCTACTTCACCTGTATTTAGCTCAACTGACAGGTTGCACTGAGGGACTGCTGGAAGTAGATGTAGGAGTCCATAAGAATCATTGATTATGTCTGAAGATTTATAGATTGCTCCAATAAAGCCCACTTATAGCTATATAGATCTATAGTCAAATTAGTTTCCTAATAAACCTTAAAATACCTAATAATCTGTTGACAATGGAACTGTTATTCAAGTACATTTGTACACATGCTTCCAAGATATTGAGAAGTTTCTGATGTTCTGGATGCATGTCGCCCTGGTAAAATACTAGCCGCTTCCTACCAACTCTGCGAGGTTGGTTGGTTTGAAATTATGGACATCTCATCTATCTAGCCCAGGAATTATACTGGAAATACCACAATAAATTGATTAATATTGATGTTTTCGGATTTTGTCCAAGATTGTTTTTAAAGGAAGGGGAGATGAGGAAGGGGGGCAATTAATTAGAGAAACTGTGTCCCAGTCCCCCCTCCCTTTTTCATAATTTGTATACATATTATAGTTTCATTTCAAAGAATTTCTTCAATTTTATATTTCAGCTTTTCCATCCTGGAAGTCTTCAATATGTCATCGAAAAAAGATGACTTTTGTAAGTATTGAATCACAGAGTTCTCTGGTCTCCAGTCTGTTTTCGTGGCATATATTAACAATGATATAATGCTCTGGTAATTATATAAACATGCCAGATCTAATAAGACATGTTCAGTAAAGTTCTATTTAACTCAGTTAAAATAAACCTGAAAAAAACCATGAACAACTTTGGTCAAACTAAGAGAAGGTAAAAAACCAACCGTAATTACTTTTCAGTTCTGTAAAGGGTTATTAATTAGGCTGAATCAATTTCATATGGACTGACATGTTACTAATGTAATTCAATTGTCTCGCACTGCTACATTTTATTTATACTAACTACAAGTGTATTGGTAAATATGTCCATATCAATGTCATTGCCTACAGTGACTTGTAACACCAATCTAAAGTGCAAGTGTACGTATGTATCAATTTAACAAGGAATTTCAGTTGTCCCTTGCTATTTAGCAGTCAAATAACATATATGTTCCCTGAAAGGACTTGGGTCATTTTTGGCTCATAATAACAAGAAGAAAACAAATACAAATAAAATTTATTTACCAAGTTCCGTTATAAACATCATATTGAATAATAAGTGCTTTCTTGGTGAAGATTTGCTTCCAATGGGCATGCGTATATCCCTATCCTAGCAACAAAATTGCATTGCTATGCAGAAATAGCCAAATAAGCCTCTGCATGTGACGAACAAAAAATCTTTTCTACAAATGGACATTGACATAGTATGACAATGGGTAAGAATGTCAAATATTTAGTTTGTTGGATGCAGAGGCTTTCAAAAATTAAAGAATGTTTAGTTTATTTCCTTCAAAATGGCCAATTTCCAACAAAATAGCGCACAAGAGACATTTTTTTTGCGAAAATGCGGGTTTATGTCTCTCTTTGTAATGCCATATCTCGAGCTCCTAAACCAGTTGTTGAATGAATTTTAAATTTCATATTTGCGTACTTCATTTATTCCAGATAACGAATATAACAACTAATTCTAAATCCCTGATGAGGCCAGAAATGACCCTCAACTCCCCTAATCCTTTAGAGTGTAAAAACACAATTGAACTGTTCCTCTTTGATTTTAAACATAATGCTTGTTAATTCACAAGAAGGACATTAAATTTGATTGAAGTATTGCTTCTTTAATTTCTAAACATACATTAATTCTATGGTTGATGCCAATAATGTTTAAATTCAATAATTTATAAATCTAGATAGTACAATGTACCAATTATATTTAAACATTATTTTTTCAATGTTACACACAGGGTGCTCTGAATGCAGTAAGAGTGTACCTGGGATGTGCAGGAAGCATGGTGGTTTCCACCAAGTGTATGACAATGTCATTCCCTCCCGAGCCAGACTGACGCTTCCTCAAGGGCTTGTCATTAAGCCAGTCAAAACACAGGATGGAAAACTAAGTAAGTATGATGATAGTTGATGCTCATGATCTGACAAGTTATTCAAAATTCATGTGTGCACTAACACCGTAGATGGCTTACAACTTTCAGATCTATATAGACATACAAAAAGATAATGTTATATTGTGATACAAGTTTATTTGTTATTTTGCTTTTTGAAAAGCATTATTGACAATGTGAGATTCAAGTGACATTTTTCTTACATAGTTCATTAGTTGTAAATATGCAATGTGATATAAGACATTTCCAGAAATGGAAAGCCAAGTAGGAAAGTTCTATCATGGGGCATGATATCATATATTCATAATTCAAAGACAATGAGATGAGGTCATTTTTCTTAATATTATTTTCTTTTAAATATGTCTACCACATTTATTACATGTTATGTATAATTCAGACTTCATACTTTCATTATAAACGGTAAAACCAAACTGTTGCACTCTTTCCAATGAGTTAGAACTTAGATAATTTGAAAATCAGTTCAATATTTAATTAGTTGACACATATCAATAAAATACAATGGTAAGTGATTTAAGAGTAAACTACTTTATAATATGCAAGTTATGTAGCATAGAAATCATTTCACTTTTGGGTACATAATTTGGGTTCAAAAAAGGTACCTTAAGGTGAGATATTTCTATCCCATATACATGTAAATGATAAAAGCAATGTTACGCTAATGCTGATATATGGTTTATATATTTTTGCCCAGTTTGGGAAACTTGTATAACAATCTCTGTTAAATCAATACTTAAAAAATTTTGACATATGATACCTTTACAGGATATGGTGTGTTAGCCAAAAGGATTGTTCAAGTAAAGTCACAGTTTGGGCCTTTCATGGCAAAAGTTGTATCGACTGAGAAAGCCAAACCAAAAAAGGAGAAAACTGAACAAGAAGAAAAAAAATCAAAGGAGAAGGAAATAACAAGCAATGAAGAAGTAGTGACTGAGCTATCTAGAGCCAGTTTGGAACAAAAGGTAGAAACCCCTATAAGCTTACCTGCAGAAATGACTCCGCTAGAGTCTCAACAAAACTTTGATACTGGCACTGTTGTAGGTCACAAGGTGCTGGTGGACGGAGACCTTTTTGAGGGGATAGTATCTGACAATCAGAGCAATCAGCAGATTGTACAGGTAGGTGTGTCTAGCTCCCAGACACTACAGGCAGGATCCTTCTCTGATGCAGAGGTCACACAAAGTCTGCAGTGTTATCTGTCCACAGCCAACTCACTCACAGATGTTGCCAATGCCCTCCCATCATTTAATAGTGGTGGCGATATGTTGGCCAATCAAACACAGTATGGATCAGAGTTGAACCTGCAAACATCGATCGAGGCAGGTTTGCCAGTGACTGACGGTCTATCTTCCAATGCAGGTCTAAGTCAGTCAGCTGAGCAGCAGCTGACTCAGATACCAAACCAGTCATTTGAGACCCGCGTTACTGTAGACAGTGAGGGGCGAGTGGTGGTTGTGCCTGTAAATACCCTACATGGTCTGGTATCAACACAGATGCTTGTCAATGATAGCTTAACCCTGGGGCCCACACAGAACCAGTTGACAGAGGGCTTAACCGTGACAGCAACGGGTGACAGCCTTCTGGTGAACCCTGCAACAGGGGAGGTTTTGTCAGGACCTCACAGGACAAACACAAACTCTATACCAGGCTTGATCCAACAACAGTCAAGTGAGTTGATGCCACACCAAGCTAGTGAACTGTTGCAACACCAGTCGGGTGAATTATTACAACAGAATCCAGCTGATGAGTTACTACCACAACACCAGTCCACACAGCTAATATCACAACAGTCGGGTGAGATGGTGCTACAACCTGATGATATGATGCTGCAACAACAGCCGGCAGAGGTAGGTCCTGACGGGGACAATACCAAGGAGTTACAGGCATCCCAGACTGAAGGAGACCAGACAAAAACACAGGACTCCACAGGCAAACAGGCAGATACTGCTGAGGTGCCTCCAATCATAGTCAACACTGCAGCTGAACAAGAGTATGAACTCAAGGTATTGTACAGTAATTCTCTGTATATTCAGTAATTACAGAATGTACATATGTAATGATTATGGTTTATATTTTTATAGCGTATTTTATACTGTTATCATCAATTCCAACTTTTATCCTGTACAACCATACGAAGATAAATTTATGACTTAAGGTTTCTTATAGATAAAAATTTATCAACTCAGAGTCTGCTCAGTACTTTGATTTTAAAACAACGAAAAAAAGGGTTCATGTTGTCAGACACCATTTCCTTATCAAATTGAAACAGCAAAATCTAAAAAAACAAATCACTTCAAAGGTTTTATGTTTCTAACCATTTAATATTACTGATGATATGCTTAGGATCCACCTTTTAAAATGAATTGCCCTTACTTCAATATTATATTGTTACATAATAAAAAGGTACACACGAGATATAGTATTATATGTACAGAATACTGTGACTTGAAAATCATTATTTATTTTCGCATATTCATTGTGGGGAAAATCCCCACTTATATTGATTGATATTAAAACTTGATGGGTACTATTGATGTTATTAAAGTTCTGTTCATGTCTAAGTAGAAATTATGTGTTTAATTGTTCAACTTTTTGAAATTTTGATCAGGTGTTTAGGGAAGATGGTTATGTGGATACCCTTGACTTTACTGACGAGGATAAGTGCAACTGGATGATGTTTATCCGGCCAGCGAAAACAGCTTCTGAACAAAACCTAGTGGCTTACCAGTTCCAGGACTACATATTTTATGTTTCTACAAAGGTATATGATGTTTTAGTTCTTGGTATAATGTATCTGTTAGCGGGGTTATGATATATCTAGTGTGTACGTAGCGTGATATATTATATTGCTATGTAGAAAGAATGTATTATGATAAACATGTTCATATCATGATAGGAAAAAGTGTTTTATTTTTCTGAAAATGGTGCTTTAAGTATAGAAAAATGTATCGTCAAACTACATCATACATCATCTGGAGCACTCACATTGAAAATTAAAATTGCACCAAACATCGATGAAGTTTCAATTAACTAGTTCAACTAGTCGTGTGTTTATCAACATGTTTGTTTTTCTGTGTAGTTGTCTGTAAAGCTAAAACCCATAATACATAATACATTATTAGATTTTGTAGATTTTTTATAGAGAGTCCAGTTTAATTGCATTGTACAGTTAGGTCCCACATAATTACAAGGGACCTGGATTTGTCATGAATCAGGCTTGAATTTCTCAAATTATTCAAGAAGTTTAATTAATTTCAATTTATTCTGCCCTACTCAACATAACTAGTTGACTACAGTACTACTGATCTCACTTTAGGTGAAACCTAATCATACAAGTTTGTCTTTTGACAGCAAAGTTATTTCTTGCAGATTGCTGTCAATGATTTTATAAATTTATATTTGGTTTGTTACGTAAAAAATATTTTTACTACCAATACCTTAATATTTAGTATTTTGTAAATCACTAGATGCTCTTTTTAACCCTTTCAACCCTAGGTAACTTTAGTAGACTTTACCATGCATTGATCTGAATGAGTCCATTATGGTCTACGGTGGTGAAAGGGTTAAAAACCCAAACTTTCACAATAGAGAAAATAGAAAAAAAATGGTCTTTAATATAAATGCTTTTGTGATGTTTACAGCCAATTCCATCTAACACGGAGCTGAAAGTGTGGTACTCCGCAGATTATGCAGAGAAGATGGGCAAAGATATGCTTCCTGATGACGAGTCTCCCGAGGGAGCAGGTATGTACAGTATGTTACAGTGTTATAAATGTGCTTCTTCTTGTGTCAGAACCCAAAGTGTCATGTGTATTTAACCTTTTTTTTTCAATAAAGTAGCACAGAACTATTAGAAAAAATATAGATCACCTAATTCTAAACATTTTCCTCAGGTTGGTAATTATGGATTGTGAAGCGTTTCATGTAACACAACCAATAAGTGTTTCTTTGTGACGTTTCGATGACTGGTATGGTATGTACTCTGTCACCTTCATCAGACAAATGACCATAGACTCTCGCACATCTATGACCAAATATTAAACAAAACGTAGCCGAAAATTGAGTCATTTCAGTACATATATAGCAACAAATTGTTTATACACTTACAACGTAGCCGAATCAACATCGATTTGCATGGACAACTTGTACATATTTAACACCTTTGTGTACATGCGCTTCACTGGTCATTTGTCTGATGAAGGTGACAGAGTACATGCCGTACTAAGGCCAAATAAAATTAATTACTTGGTTCTCAGGCCAATTGTTTTCAAAATAGATGCGGCAGGGCGGTATATTTTTTTTTCATTTTACATGGCAAAAACAAGACGAGGGCAATTTTTTTTTTATTGTGTAGTTTGGAAAACGTTCATTGTGGGCATTACCTTGTCTTTTTATAGTTGAGTAGAGACCCGTCATAGAGCAAGCCTCCGAAAAAATCCCCCCACAATGTTCCAGACGAGAATCACGAACCCCCCATTCCGTATTTGTACCGAAATGAGCATCATTTGTACACAAGACTAATAAGTCATAATCATTTTAACACTTGCCTGTATCTCAATCCTTATCTTTATTCAAACGTTTTCGGGACTTGGGTGACTAACGAGTAAAAACAACATACGGACCAATTTTCCGGATTTTTAGCTCACCTGGTCCGAAGGAGCTTTTGGCGTCCGTGCGTCAACAATTTCTTTAAACGACTTCTTCTTCTTAACCACTGGTTGGAATTAAACTAAATTTGACTGGAAGCATCCCTAGGTGGTGGGGATTCAAAATTGTACAAATAGTGGGGCTGAGGGGCGGAGCCAAAAGGGGTCAATTTGCCCATATTACTTTAAGCGACTTCTTCTCTGGAACTAAGAAGTGGATATCAACCATATTTGACTGGAAGCATCCCTAGGTGGTGGTGATTAAAAATTGTACAAATGGTGGGGCTGACTCCCCAGGGGGCTGAGGGGCGGGGCCAAAAAGGGGCAATTTGGCTATACTGCTTCAAACTTCTGTAGAACTGTGCACTGGATATCAATCATATTTGATCAAAAGCATTCCTGGGAGGCAGGGATTTAAAATTGTACAAATGGTGTGGCTGACCCCCCAGGGGGCTGAGGGGCAGGGCCAAAAAGGGTACTTGGCTATACTGCTTTAAGTGACTTCTTCTCTGGAACCAAGAAATGGATATCAACCATATTTGATTGGAAGCATCCCTAGGTAGTGGTGATTAAAAATTGTACAAATGGTGAGGCTGACTCCCCAGGGGGCTAAGGGGCGGGGCCAAAAGGGGGCAACTTGGTTATTTTGCTATAAATGACTTCTTCTGCAGAACTATGCCATGGATATTGATCACATTTGGTCGGAAGTATTCATGGGAGGCAGGGATTCAAAATTGTACAATTGTTGGGCATAAAGAGACGAATGCAGTCATGATATTAGAATTGATCCCAGGGTCTGCCCCACCCTTGCAGACTTGGCCCCTGGGTCATAACTTTGAAACGGTTGAGATCCCCAACCCAGAACTATATATACAAATGCTTGGCAAAAAGAGACAAATGCAGTCACGATATTAGAATCGATCCTGGGGTCTGGCCACAACTCTAGGGCCCTAGTTTCTGAGTCGAAGCTTGGAAACAGTTGAGATCCCCACCCCATAACCATTCATAAAATTGCTGGTCATGAAAAATCTAATATAACTATGCTACAAGGATTGGCCTTGGGGTCTGGCATATTCCCTTGATCTCATTTGGAGATTAGTTTGCCATGATTGCTTAGGTATCCAGGTGAGTGATACAGGCCCTCCGGGCCTCTTGTTTTAAAGATGGCGGCTGGCGCATTCACATTTTTTTTTATTACTTTCACGATAAAATCGGCAATGCGCACGGTGCCATGAAATGTGTGCGGGCCTGAGAACCAAGTTGTCAATTTTTTTTGGCCTTATCATCGGAACGTCGCATAGAAACACCTATTGGTTGTGTTACATAAATCTTTCCACAAACTCTGGTATAGGGGTGTAAAATTATTACTAGCCCACAGGCAGATCTTAAAGCTTTGTACTAGCTAGCCCTACTTATATGTTCATGGCAAACATTGAAACTTAACACAAGCTCTTGCTTATAAAATCTGTTAGCTGTTGGGGTCAGGCTAGTGAAATGGAACTCCCCTAACATAGATGTTATCTATAGATTGAGATGCTGAAATTATTTTTGATGCAATTAATATTTCATTTTATTCATGAAATCTTTTTCTTTGGCAGAATTCCCAGCCAAATGGGTGTGTTCAGTGTGCTTTGAAGGGTTTAGCACATTTGCTGAATTAGAAGCACACATGTGCCCAGGGGTGCCTCCTGGCGGTAAAAGACTGCGAGGAAGGCCAAGAAAAGGAAGACCAAGAAAATATGTTAAACCGTCCAAAACTTGGAGAGCACGACTTGACAAGGCTCGTTTGTCGAAAGCAAGAGTTCAGGATCCGATGGTACCTAATGTTCCAAGAAAGAGAGGTCGGCCGCCGAAGATCAAGCCAGCAGTGATGGTTGTTGAGAAGCCTGCCTCACCTGAGTTGGAAGAACCTATCCAATTTAATGAAACAGAGGATCTAGAGGAACCAACCACAGATCAACTTCTAAATGACATCCTTGGAGTTGATGATGATGACGACGATGATGATGACGATGATGATGATGAGGAGCCTATCATACCTAAAAGGAGGGGTCGTAAACGAAAACTTTTGAAAATTCCAAAGCCAAAATCTCCGAGGGGTCCAAGAAGGGAACCTATGACATGCCCTTATTGTGCCGAGAAATTCACCAAGGAAGCAATTTATGTGATACATGTTGCTGAACACACAGGCATTAAGCCATTTATTTGTGAGGATGAAGACTGTAAAAAGGGTTTCATGTCAAAGTTCAAACTTGAGCGGCATCGTCTGATACACACCTGTCCACGTCACCATAAGTGTCCTTACTGTGACAAGTCCTTTAACCGCAAGGACCATCTAAAGAACCATCTCATAACGCATGACCCAAACAAGAAACGCTGGGTTTGTGAGGAATGTGGTAAGGAATATTCGTATAATTTCTCCTATAGGACACATAAAGCCTTCCATGATGCCGAGTCTGGGAGGACAACCGAGTGTGGCATTTGTCACAAGGAACACGAAACACGCGAGGAACTGCTCTATCATCTCAAAGTGCACAGTGGTGCACGGTCTGTAAAAAACTGCTTAGAAAAAACACACGAGTGTATAGACTGCTGTAAAAAGTTTTACACCAAAAAGGATGTACGTAGACATATGATAACACATACAAAGAAAAAAGATTTTTTGTGTCAACACTGTCCACAGCGGTTTGGTCGTAAAGATCATCTCACACGTCACTTGCGGTCATCTCACTCTGGAGATAACCCTAATGCCAAGCCGCCACGTGCCCCCCGGGGGGAGAAGAAGGAGCGACAAGTCAAACACTACGAGAGGATAGAGCAAGCTGTTGCCATGCCAACTATGAGGGAGGAGCCAGCTGTGCTTGTCACCTCACAACCTTCACTTAATAACCCATACCCTATACATGCAATACCAACAGAGAACAGAGATGTACCTCTACCCATACACCTGTATGAAAATATTAATGCCCAACCAGTTATCACTATGGCAACAATGACCCAACAGCAGCAACAACAGCCAGCTCAGATGCAGCAGACTTTGCACATAGCACCAGCCAATCAAATGCAGGTTGAGAGATATACTGTGGAAGTGGGTAATCAAGGAATCCGACATGTCAACGTGAACCAGACAATGGATGCAGGAGTGATTGGGGGCAATGACTACCGAACAATGCAACACCAGGGTACAACTATGTACCTGGCACAACCCCAACAGCACCATATGATCGCCAACAAAGATGCTAACATGGAGCTGGTACGCACCAATGGGGTGCTAGACCAGGTCCAGTACCAGCCAGTCCGCGAACAAGGAACTCGGCCCACTGTCCTACAGACATCGGATGCAAGACAGACACCCTCTGCACAGACCTTCTCCACACTTCTTGGCTACATGGAGACCCTGAGGTTCCTAGAGAACCTGCCGACCAACACCCAGGGAGGGGTTATACAGATGGAGACCACACACACACCAACCATGGTACCCATACAAACTATGCCCTATTCCACTAGTGCTACCCCTAACCTCGTGGCACATCCAACTGAAATGCAAAAAAGGATGCCAGTTTCTCATCACAATGTTTATCAACAGGGTTCATGATTGACTGACTTGGTAATTTGTAAGCAACTTGTTTATCAGTGTCACTTGCATTTTACATGTTACTAGGCTTGTCCATGTTAATGTATTGGAGATGATGTGTGCATTAGAACTTGGTTTTAATATCATTGATAAAACTGGTGCAGAAATATTTATAGCTACTACAGTTTAAGATTGATTATATATATTAGTTATATATATTTTATGAAAATTAATTATTTTAGCTTTAATCTCAACATTGGGATTAATATAACAATGTTTTAGCAGTTAATGTACACATGTAAAATGCAGAAAATTATGTTTAAACTGTGCCTGGCTCCTTCACTGGTAAACACAGCCTTTACACTCATATACACATTTATAGAACAATGCAGTCTGATTTATCATTAATCAATTTATTACACCTCCAACAACAATGGGAAGGAAATGTTGTGTTGGAATCGGACTGTCTGTCTGTGTTACCATATGCTTGTAATTATATAGATTTAAACACAATTCTGAGACTACTTCTCCTCAGATACTGCATAGATTTCAGTAAACCGTTGTTCGTTTTATCAACATTTGAAAAACAGTTTGTTAACCATGCAGTCTTTTATTGTTTGACCATTATTCTTTTTGTGTGCAGAGTTATGCCCCTCTACATAATACACATATCCTGGCTACTTCTATATAAGTGCTGCATCAATTGAATTCAGTGAAACTTTGTCCCCTTAGTCATTATTTTAATTGGTTGTTAACTTTCCAATTTCTGTTTTTATTTGTAAATAATATTTTCAGAAATGTTCCTTAACTTAGTCGTCAGGCAAATTCTTATCACTTTAGTCTTGGGATTAGGAAGTATTGCTTATAATCTTACGGATTTTTTTAAGTTTCAGACATTTGTGAAACTTGGGTCAGTATTCTGGTTTGTTTGGTGTTATGAATATTATTTAATAGAGTAATATGATGTACTTAACTGATTGTTCAAAAAGTTCATTGTGATGTTAAAATTAAGAAAATAGAAGTGATGCTATAGACATGTATCAAAACAATGATCTTAGTCATGAAAAATAGAATATTTTGTGCCATATTGTCTTGATAGTGAAATAAAAGTGATCTTGAATTTATTTTTGTTTGGTATATAGGAGATTCATGAAATTCTTTCAAAAAAATAACTTCTGCTAAAAAGCACTTCTGAATACATGTTGTATTAAGTAGAAAGGAGATTTCGTGTCGGTAAATAGAGGAATTGTTATGTGTAGAGGTAAAGATTCCCAGCCCATAAATCATAAAAATTGGTTACTGATTGTATGTACTTACTCAGCTCAAAAATCATATTGATTTAAAGGACTATATTTCCCAAAACATTAATTGGAAGAGTTAAATATGTACATTATAAATTAGTGTTAGGATATCATCTCTTGACTTTAAACTGTGGATGAATTGCAAAAACAATAACACATTTGGAAGGAAATATGAAATATAAAATTTTATAAGTTCATATGTTTTGAGAGTTTTGAAATTTCCAGAAAATTTCACAGAAGACCTACTAATTCAGTCCTTTATATATATGTCAAGCTGTATATATAGTCCAGTGATATGTTTCACTGTTTACTTTCACATGTACCAATATCACTAAAAACATGGATGGCCAGTTAGTAGCAGGTTTCTTTTGTAATGTAGGTCTGAACACTTTGATTCCATAGTTAAAAAACATTAGTCCAGAAAAAATTAATGTACATCATTTCCTGATCTATTTATGCATAAACCTGAGAAATCAAGCTAAATAAATTTTGACCAGGTTCATTGTTCTATACCAGTGTGAAGGTAAAACGATGATTACTAAGGTATTGTTTTTATCTTCGGGAGGAAACTTCTATGTTCGTCATGCATGTAATCTTGTGTACATTTTCAGATAAATTTTGAAAGCAATGAATTACACTCACATGTACATTATATTGAGCATCAATGAAGAAATCTTTTAAGCATTTTAGATCAAGTGTCACATGTAGATACACATTGCTATGGTGGCATTTGATGTAAAGCTAAGAATGATGCATGGAATTGGGGGATGGAGATCATGTACTGATGTTTTGTTGTGATGTAATTGATTTACTCTGTATAGAAGGCATATTGCTGATGAGAGTTAGAAGTCTGCTTGTACAGAGGAGAATTATATTATTGACTAATGAATGTAAAATGTGTAGCTGAATGAAAACAATTTAAGCCAACAGAAACAATAACCATAATTGTTCCAACCATTCACAGAATTATCTTTTTTTTTACCTGTTCATGAATTTCTCACCCTAGGGTATCTTTTGTCAGTCTGTACAGTATGATTTCTCACCCTAGGGGGTATCTTTTGTCAGTCTGTACAGTTTGATTTCTCACCCTAGGGTATCTTTTGTCAGTCTGTACGGTATGATTTCTCACCCTAGGGTATCTTTTGTCAGTCTGTACAGTATGATTTCTCACACTAGGGTATCTTTTGTCAGTCTGTACGGTATGATTTCTCACTCTAGGGTATCTTTTGTCAGTCTGTACGGTATGATTTCTCACCCTAGGGTATCTTTTGTCAGTCTGTACAGTATGATTTCTCACCCTAGAGGGTATCTTTTGTCAGTCTGTACGGTATGATCTCTCACCTTAGGTTTGGCAGATAGAACATGAAAAGAAACAATAGGATGTCAAAGGAACAATCACTGACGCTGCAATCGGTTCTCTACAGCAGTTGTCATGTGTAATCTGGATGAACACATAACAACTACTGAAAATGGTTGCTTTCAAATTAGTAAATGACTGATTCGAGGAAAACAATCCTCCCTTACCTAAAGATGTGATGGAGAAATCTCCAACATGGAGGTGATGTTTTGGTTGTTTTACCCTCCGTAAAGCCTTGGAATGGACGACCAAAAAAGAATCATCTTTTTCAAGTCAGCAATTTCTCTGTCACATCTTCAAGGAAGAGAAAGATTCTATCAGTAATCATGATTTCTTGTATATGTTGTAATATGTTGGTGCAGTGATGATACATGGTCAGTGTTGAAAGCATCTGGCAGTGTTGTTGAGAAAGAGTATTTTAATATTTATTGAGTTACCTCCCCTTCATGCCCATCCATGCTCCATAATGTTTTACCCTGCAAATTTATTGTAAGATGTTAGTACACTCCATGCAAACCTTAGTCTCTGCCCTCAGAAGTCAGTCTTTTACAGTATATTTCAACACTTATTCTTTCAATAAATTGTTATATAGATAAAAATTTTGATGGGAACAATTGCTGAGGTTAAGTTACTATTGTGATTGACTTTCAGTGTTCACCCTTGAAAATGTGTGACTTATTATGTGGATTACTCGATGAAGCATATGCATGTAGAAAGAATGAATATTATTGGGAAATGCATTTGTATATGAATAAATACATGTTTATTTATAAAATCATGCGTCATAAAAGATTATATGTGTGTTTAGAATTAATTCCCAAGCTTAAAAAAAATGAAAGGAAGGATCATTTGAACATGAGGTTAAACAGAAAAATTAAAAAGAGTCTTTTTGCAGATTTCTTGAGAGGGCTTTATATATTGAAAAACAACAATTTCCCCAGTCCTTGGACTAATTTCTGGTTTATGTGTTTGATACGATGCATAGCAATATCAAGTTATTTTTGTGTGGTGCCTGAACTCTACATATTTACTTGTTTGCTTGAATGAAAAAAATGTGTGCCAACATGTTGTCATGAAGATTATGCCATTAATCACTTGGATTGTTTTATGGAGTCGCACTATTACACATGTCCATATCTAAATGGAGATATTTACAATATATGGTATACATGTGTGATGGTACTGTATATGTTGAACTTGCAGTTTTTCTCTGCTCTATTGCTATAACTTTCCGAGACAAATATGTTGCTTTAGTTGTTTGTCCGTCCATCTGTCCATCAAACAAGATAGTACCTTACAATACTTTTCAACAGATGGCTTTGACCGCAGAGTTTGTACATTATCCATAATATTATTTTCATAATCATGAGAGAAAGAACATTTATTAGCATCTACTTGGAGAGGGTGTTCATTTTGTAAATAAATTAGTTACTGTATCAATGCATTATCTCCAATCATGCTGTTGGTGTAGATTGTCACTTGTTAAAGATGTTTTAGGTCATTTGAGATGACCATTGTCCTGCCTCATGTCCCCGTACATTTGTTGGGTAGTGATGGCCACTGTTAATTATAGAATGTTAACACCGAGATGGAATGTAACCTAGAATAATGTATTTCTGATGTAAGATCAGAGCCATCTCTGTTCCTGTGGAGGGTTTAACCTTTTCAGAATAAAACAAATAAAAACATCCATTGTTGTTTTGTTTGTATATATGTATTATATTTAGTTGAACCCAGAATTAAATCATATTGGCAATGTTCTCCCCAGAATGTTTTGAAAGAAGCATGGTATTTCAATATTTATGTTAAAGCAGCACTTTATGTAAAATCAAAGCAGCATGGTAACTTTAGATTTACTATGAATATATCGCAGAGCAGATCTAGGATAGCAGCATGGCAAGAAATTATAGGAGCATGGTGCCATGCTTCAAAATCAGCCTGGGGAGAACACTTTGGTATTTCAATTGGTGATGTTACGATAAAACCTCAATACTGGCATGGCATAGCATAAGCTACACCAGTCCTTCGGACCAGGTGAGCTAAAAACTAAGAGTCCATTTAAGCTCACTTGCCATTTGGACTACCAGGTAGCTTCTTTTTCTAAGCCTACCAATTTTTTTTGGTCCCCAGAAAACTGGTTGTAAACTACAGTAATGAAGACATCTTGCTATCAAATCTGGATTATGTCTGTTTTGTAAATTGGCCATGTTTCTGGTCCCTTGTCTTCTATACAGCAGTAAATTGTAGGAGTATGGTGCCATGCTTCAAAAACAGCCTAGGGAGAACACTTTGGTATTTCAATTGGTGATGTTACGATAAAACCTCAATACTGGCATGGCATAGCATAAGCATAAGCTGTAAACCGGTGTCCCATTCTTGTCTAGTGGCCGAATAATGAGGTCCCATTGGTGTCTGGTTTAGTCCACTGTGATATGTCAGTTAAAAAACAACAACATCAAAATATATTGATTTTTTATTTGATTTGTCATTAAAAAAATCACTGACTTCTGTATTATTGCACAAAATGACACGGTATTTTTTTTCAAATATGTCATTAAAAATAAAATGGTCATCTTCTGAATAAAACATGACAATTAATGTTTATAAATGTATACCTCTCTTAAAATTAGCACTTCGTTGTGTCGATAATAAAAGTACTGGTCAACATTGTTATGTAGGTAGCCATCAACAATGATATGGAATCTATGTAAAATACTACTTACATGTATATGTAAGTAAGCATAGCAAAAAAAATTCAAAATTTAAGGTTAAGAGTAGCACTCCAGCAGTTGTAACTGCCAAGAAGTATTCCAAGCCGTATTTTTTAATGGAGGTATTCTAACTTACGTATTGCTATGGCTTACAGTTACCTCCCTTGATTTGGTTGATATATATTTCTGTAAAATGCATTGCAAACATTGTGTTTGATACATAATCTATAGAACACTTCATTGTACCCTTACCTTATGTAGATCATTAAATAAATGTTCAGTACCACACATGAAACTGAATCCTCTCATACCTTTCAATTATCTTCACAATAAGATAATTGATATTGAAATAGATATGATTGGTCATTTTGAGTACAATAAAATACACATCAAAATAATGTATTTTACACTGATCGTCACAGTAAACTATTTCAAACAGATTGAAAAATTCAAAATCAATAATTTTTTAAATCAAAACAGCAATACATATGCCCTAATTTGTAAGAGATATTTAAATTAAATTTCTTTGAGCTCAATAATACAATGCTGCTTACATTACATTATGTATTTTGTAATATTTATTAAACAAAAACTTGTTCTGTAATACCTATATATATAGCAGTAGAAAACTTCGATGAGGACATAGGTTTCCAAGTTATCCTTTTGAACAAAATTAATTTTCTTTTTTTTTTATGATAAATACATATATACTTCACACTTTGCAAAATATAAAAAAAACCAGACATTCTAATTTCAACAATAAACAAACATACAGGTATATATAAAGTCAGCATATACCAGCTGTTAATGATTCCATGCATGTGAATGTATAGCTAGCCAATATGAAACCAAACATTTCCATAACAAATGTATCTTCTTTGTAAAAGAAAATCCTGGAAAAGCTTTGTTGAGAAATCTTGATTATCTACAAACTTAATGTTAAATAGGAGATAAATATTTTGATTATATTTCTGAAATAACAACAAACACAATGACTAGACAACAAAATGACTTGTTTGATCAATGACTTAATTTGACTGCGTTAATTTTCACTTTCGGTCAAATAATGATACAGCTAGCAGACAGTAAGTAAAAAAAACGTTTTAACATTGAAAGTTTACTGAACTTCGGTTTCACGCAGCAATCAATTTCCAAAATCAACATTTTCATATTTCTTGACTATCTCCAAGATGAAAAACAAAGTATAGAAAAGTCATTGAATTTCTATTTCTCACTCAAGATAAATGAGTTACTTTTAGATATGTAGCAATAATAGAGTTTGATTCCTGACTAGATTGACCCTACAATGATCTAACACATATTGAACATTTTCTAGTCATGTGAATGAAGTCTCTATGTTCAAGTCACACAACATTTTAGCTTAGGCCTAATGACATTTTCTACTTGAGACGGTAAAAACATAATTGCTAAAAGACACATAACTGATGATGATTGGTCAAATAAAATATCACAGGCAACTATATACTGTGAACCTTTTATTTTTGTGAGAAATTTATTTCTGTGTCAAGATACCAGGAAAGTCATTCAGGAACTTTTAATCTACCATGAATATTACTTCCCTATGCAATTTTATAAACAGTGAAATAGCGTCCTCTCAATTGGGACCCCAAGTTTGATGAAACATACAGGTATACAGCTTGCAAAATAAAGAACTCACAAAATTAACCTGATTGACAGTATGGTTTAAATGTCTTGATATGGTTTATATTTCTAAGATAAAACAATCACACTTGGTAACCGACACCATGTTGAATAATATTGATCTAGGGTTACAGTTCATACTGGCTACAGTCACTATTTTACACAATTCTCAGTACTTTTAACACATTCATGATAAAAAAACATTTTTGGTATTCACATTCTTGAAAGTGAGTTTTCCGTTTGAGTATCGATTAATATGTACGACCAGCGCTCAATATCACTTCATTTGATATAGAAATTGAATCTCAAATCACCCAAAAATGTGTGTTATACAAACACATGTCTCTGGATTAATGTTCAGAAATGCTTTGGGCATCTAAAACAAGACTCAAACATATGAACTTTGACCTGTAGTGTGAGGTTGGGTTGTGAGGGAGGACGGGTGCAAAGATTTAGACAAGGAGGGAGTAGTACTAAAGTTGATCCAGTCCCTCTAGACTACTTATGGCAAGATAACTTAGTTTGTTGACAGTCTATCTAGTGTTTGGAGGTCCTGGTTTGAGCCCTGATCTGGTCCATTTGTCTAATGTCACCATTTTCAGTCAGTTTATTTATATGTCCATTTGTTTATGACATCATCCCTGTCTTACATACGATCCCTGTACAGCACTGTTAGTGTTTGTAACACAGTCAAAGAGTCAATTAATGTCTACTGTTAATATCACATTATGAACATATTTTTATGATGCAATATTAAATAATTTATGACTTAAAAATTACTTGCTAACAACCATCAACTGGAGACCTACTGTATATAAACTGGCATTGAAGTTCCATTCTAACACAATTCTGAAGATTAATCACACTGGAGGACTGGAGGACTTAACTGGACTACATAAATATATCTGTATATTCTTAACCTTTTAGCAAAACACACTAGATTCTACACACCTGTCTACATTTGCATAGTTATGGTCCCATTTCCAGAGGTCACAGGTTGACTCAGATTTGTAATACACACCTATACATTGATGTAGATTACATTACAAACTTGTTCCATTTAAGCACCTGAAACATCCAACACTCAAACATTGGCACATTAAGACAAGACCCTGAAGTGCTGCTCACTCTTTCCACCTGGACAACTGTCTGTGCATTTAAGAACATCCAGAGCTACATCTTCACTGCAATGACCTTGCCCTGTCAATTTTTTTGTCCCTTTTTGATCTTAAAATGGGTCATCACACAATGTCCTTGACATTTGGGGTCATCACACAATGTCCTTGACATCTGTATGACCCAATGTCCTAGACATTTGGGGTTATAACACAATGTCCTTGACATCTGGGGTCATCACACAATGTCCTTGACATCTGTATGACCCAATGTCCTTGACATTTGGGGTCATAACACAATGTCCTTGACATCTCGGGTCATCACACAATTTTCTTGACACCTGGGGTCATCACAAGATGTCTTTGAAACTTTGGATCATCACACAAAGTCCTTGACACCTGGGGTCACTTACTGTCCTTCAAAGATTGGGCCACACGCTGTCTGTCACTTCACAATGTCCTTGACACTTGGGATTACACAATGTCCTATCACAGTCATTATCAGGCTAAAGTCCTGATCCCTTAGGTATTTGTCATGAAAAGGCATCTTCAGCAGGTGGGACGTAGGAAAAGCCCTGGAACATACTGTCAGCCTCCATCACACTGGCACTCACCAGCTTACTAGTCCCCATGGACTTCCCAACAGATGCTGAAACAGAAATTTACATTGTTTAAGACCAAAGTTGTTCCGAAAGTCACAATGTCCTTCAATCAAGTTCATGCTTATACCGTATACATCTTTTTGTATGTTCTTGACTTAGAATAATATTATGATGGGTATAATGAGACATGTCTAATCCAACACTCTGTGGGACATTGTATATTGGTCAGATTAACCTGTCTGATCTGACACTCTGTGGGACATGGTATATTGATCAGATTAACCGGTCTAATCTGATACCCTGTGGGACATGGTATATTGGTCAGATTGACCTGTCTAATCCAACACCCTGTGAGACATGGTATATTGGTCAGATTAACCTGTCTAATCCAAAACCCTGTGGGACATGGTATATTGGTCAGATTGACCTGTCTAATCTGACACCCCGTGGGACATGGTATATTGGTCAGATTTACCTGTCTGATCTGACATCCTGTGGGACATGGTTTATTGATCAGATTAACCTGTCTGATCTGACACCACCCTGTGGGACATGGCATATTGGTCAGATAAATCTGTCTGATCTGACACTCTGTGGGACATGGTATATTGGTCAGATAAATCTGTCTGATCTGAAACTCTGTGGGACATGGTATATTGGTCAGATAAATCTGTCTGATCTGACACTCTGTGGGACATGGCATATTGGTCAAATAAATCTGTCTGATCTGACACTCTGTGGGACATGGTTTATTGATCAGATTAACCTGTCTGATCCAACACCCTGTGGGACATGGTATATTGGTCAGATTAACCTGTCTAATTCAACACTCTGTGTGACATGGTATATTGGTCAGATTGACCTGTCTAATTGGACACCCTGTGGGACATGGTATATTAGTCAGATTAACCTGTCTAATTCGACACACTGTGGGACATGGTATATTGGTCTTAGTAACCTGTCTAATTCGACACTCTGTGGGACATGGTATATTAGTCAGATTAACCTGTCTAATCCAACACCCTGTGTGACATGGTATATTGGTTAGATTAACCTGTCTAATCCAACACCCTGTGGGACATGGTATATTAGTCAGATTAACCTGTCTAATCC